ATTCAGACACAAAAAAAAGAAAGCTTGACAGGTTTGCTCAGATGGGTTTGGACAGAAAATCTGGAAATAATATTAGGCTATTAGGTTGCGTTCGGACACAAAAAACAGAATATCCAATTTGTCCAATTTGGGTCGGGCTCATTTTGTTTTCTCTCTGGCTTTGATGGGTTCAGACACAAACTTTCTTTAAGTGGAATATGAAACACCTTCCTGTTTGCTGTTAAATGGACATCAAGTAATAAATCCACAAAGAAACAGACAGATACTGTGTGAGTGCTGCCTGATGCATAATATCATCCCAGACACAAAAGCAGACTAGTCAGTCCGTAAATCTGCTTGCTCACGCTGTCCGCTCATCTGCATGTGTGCTTCTCATTTCCACTGCCACATTAAAGTGTGACAGAGCTGCCCCTGCTCTGAGGCATGTCCTCGATCAACACTTCCCAAATCCCCTCCAGCGAATGTGAGCACATACCTGGCTGCATAATCACTGCACCTGCCAGTTCTCATATTGTTATCTACAATCTGATGAAGTCATTTCCACAAGCTCGCAGCACTCTATCCTGTCATCTTATTTTCTTTCATTTTCCCTCCATCTTTTCTCTGACTCCTCTCCCCACCCACAGAGGCAGAGGCTGATTCGGTCTCGGGTTGGCCTAGAGGAGGGGGCCGCTTCAGGGGAGGAGGGTTCGGGTGCTAGCGGTCTAAGGGGCAGGGAGAACGGGTCGGTGGCTGAGGGAGACAGGCAGACGCTGGAGGGAGAGAGGGAGATGGGTAAAGAAGTGGCAGTTGGGACGAGTGGGGGAGCACTTTCTAAAGAGGAAGAGGAAGAGGAGGAAGAGCAGGAGGAACGAGAGGAGGAGGACTCTCCATTCAAACCCTTCAATGTGCCAGGTGCGTGGTTAAAGATAGCATATGCAACAATTCTTAATTGAAATGTCTAGAAAACTATAAGCTAGACGTATATTATATATATGTTATTGACTTGTGTACTTACCCCATCTAAAATGTTTCCATTTGTTGTTTCCGTCTCATTTTGTTCGCCTTTTAATTTCCTCATATTCACTTTGCTTGTGTCATTTCTACTGTGGCAGCAAATGATAAAACCCGAACACTTTACCTCATCCTCAACATGATTTCCACCTGAGTTGTGTCAGGGTAGATTTTCATCTGCAACGGTGGTGAAGGCAACAACTCCCATGATCCTAAGCTGGGGGTTAGAGTTTCATTTGGGGTTTATTTCTTTTAATTTGTGTCAAATATCTAACTCAAGCTCAAAGATCACTGTGGGTCCGACACATCTGTTGACCTGCTACAGGTCAAAGTCGATTTCTTTTTCAGTCATATTTATTTATATTTATTAGTCTGAGTAGACTAATATGTGTGGCTCCAAAAAACATCCCCTTTCTTTATATTATTTCAAAGGATGCATCAAACTCAGGAAAGGATTGGAAAGGAAGGAAAGGAAAGAAAGGAAAGGAAAGGAAATGTTTTTCAGAATAGATGGATTCATAGTTAATGGAGCTAATTAGAGAAGAGCGGCACTGAGTCTTCGACACATCCACACCAACCTGTGTGAATTATTTATAAGCCTAGATGAATCTGTAATGAATCCGTAATGATCCATGGTGTGAAATGTGTGTGTTTTCCTCATCTCGTCCACAGACGGCTGGTGTATGCGTGTGAAGTGGCTGCTCTCCTGGCCTCTGAGCGTTCTGCTTTACTTCACCATTCCCGACTGTAGCCTGCCACAGTGGGAGCGCTGGTACCTCCTCACCTTCCTCTCCTCCACGCTCTGGATAGCCCTCTTCTCCTACCTAATGGTCTGGATGGTAAGGAACACACACACACACACACACACACACACACACACACACACACACACACACACACACACACAAAACACACAAAACACACACAAAACACACATCAACACTCTTTCTTTTCGTCTCTCTAGGTGACGATAATCAGCCACACATTTGGAATCCCTGAAGTCATCATGGGCATCACTTTTCTGGCAGCCGGCACCAGTGTCCCCGACTGTATGGCCAGCCTCATCGTCGCCCGACAAGGTGTGTGTGTTTGTGATCCTCTCTCATCACACATTGACACTGTTGAATATAACTTTTCTTATCCTATGTAAAGTGTCTTTGAGCATTGTTAAAAGCACTATACCAATAACATTTCATAAAAAATATTATTATTACTACTACCACAACTCGTAAACCATTTACTAACTTTGCTCGTGTTGCTGCCTGTTTTGCTACAAATCTAAATCGCGATGACCTCAGACATATCACAGATAAACCACTGATGGCTCCATCTTTGGATTTCAGCCTATGATTTCAGCTGAATTCCTCTTTGTGTTTGTGCGTATGTGAAATGTTGCAGGGATGGGTGACATGGCCGTGTCCAACTCCATTGGCAGTAATATCTTTGATGTGTTGCTGGGCCTGGGTTTCCCTTGGGCACTGAGGACTATCATAGTCAGCTACGGATCAGTGGTAACACCAACTTTCTAATTCTCTATCTAATTCATCTGACCCGATTCATGATCCTTAAAACCGAGCAAGGTCCTACACATGGTCAGGGTCAGGAACCTTCTGCTTGGAGACTTTTTAACCGAGTGATAAAGACCCAAAACATGTTCTGTGGTTTCCATGGTAAAAAAATGTACTTTCATTTGAGTCATTTTGTACATCAATAGAAACTGCAATGATCCCAGTTTTGATTCTTGACTACCCACTGATATTTGCCTCAGTCAAGGAAGTGATGCTTTCAGTGCCGTTTGTCTGTTTAAACTACTACCTTCTTAAAACTTGGTGGAGAGGTGGGGTATGAGTCATGGAAGAATCCATTAATGTTGAAAAATGATTCATGGATCTTGAATATCAGGCATATTTTGATTTCTCTGAGATTTGGTGCAGTGTGCCTGTATTTAAGGGGACTGTTGGGCCTTGGTGGAGGTGTGAACTCTACTGAGTGTCATTCTTCTTAATGTAATATTGTCTAACTGCTCTCATCGTGTCCTTTCTACACAAGCTGTTTTCAGCAATAAACAAACAGTTAGCAATTATCTGGTGAACAGGGTTTAGCATTTGCTAAAGAGCCAGCTATTTCCTTCGGAAGTCGGTAGAGACCAAACATGGAGCTAAAAGAGAGTGACTATTGGACTTGTAGGGTAAAATAATGTGACTCCAAATGAGTAATAAAGTTCACCTTATCAATGTCAGTTATGTTGACATGTTAGTACAATGTGTTATAACTTCTTTTGGCAGTTGAATGCTTTTGTAAAACAATGATTTGTTTCGTGTGTTTAGGTAACAATCAACAGCAAAGGTCTGGTGTACTCAGTGATTCTGCTGTTGGCCTCAGTCACACTGACCGTGAGTGGATCTCTGTTATCAATCACATCTGTCCATGGATTTGAAATCTAATCTGATTATTTCTTCATATTGTAGCATCAGTACACAGATTCTACAGCACACCACCTGCCTGTTCTTTCTCACCGTTATTTTTTATCTGATCTTTTTCCCGTGAGAGCCTTTGATTGTATTTCCAGATTTAGTTTTTCTATTTGAGACTTTATTTCATTTTAAGGCAGTTAAACTGAAAATGAAGTTTGTCTTGTACCTTATGTTGGCTGCAGTGAGAACAGACCCTCTCTCTCTTTCGATGTATCTCGCCTCAGGTCCTGTGCGTTCATCTGAATCACTGGAGGTTGGACCGCAGGCTGGGATTCAGTCTCCTGCTGCTCTACGCCATCTTCCTCCTCTGCGCCGTCGGCTTCGAGAGGCTGTAGAGGACACACACACACACTCCAAACATTTTATGATCCAAAACTCAGACTTAGAAAAGTGGTCCAGCTGATTTTCCACTGTCACTGCCGCCATTATTAAGCATATACATGAGAGATACATTTTCATTTCATGTTGTAATGGCTGTACATGTTTGAGCAGCATTTACACAACACCCACCGCCTGAAAATAACATGGTTTACCTTTGATAAACAAGTATTTTACATAGTTTTGTACCAAGCACCTCCAGCTCAGATTTTATGAAATCGAATGTCTCTCAATAAATTTATGAAGTATTGAATTTGTATTCTGAAAGAAAGAATATTGAAGAAGGAACCCAAAGTGTGTTGGTTTACTTACAGTATGATTAACTATTGACTGCCACAAGTAACCTCAATGATTAAACATGTACATTTATATAGTGTTTTCTCAGTCTGTGAAGCTACATAAGTTTAATGTCACGTTTTCAACATGCCTTTGTGTGTGTAGCTGTAAATGGCATCGCATGGCTGAACAACACGCTCTGGATAATTGCACTAAGCCCAATTCTCTTGGCCTCATTCATAACAGTGAGTCAGTGTAGGAGAAAATCTTTCAGTGTGTTTTGGTTGAGTGCAATAAAAACGCTTTGTTCTGTGAGGTTTCGCCTCCTCCTTTTAACAAATGACAGATGAATGCTCATTCAAACGGCTGCTGAAAATGAATGACCCTGATTTTCAAATTTGAGAATAACAGCAACGAGAGAATCGAATCTAAATGCCAGTCTAGTTATTTAAAGCAACAGTGGACACGTAATTCAAAGTGATTTTTATTTCAGTCAGGCTAAATTGGCTTTCATACCAAATAAATGTAAAAATAAAAATAGTACAACAAAGTACATAATTTTACAAATACTCATAATGGAGGTCTGACATTTCAGAATAATCAAATAAATTCAAACATGTCACAGTCATAACAAAAATATAAAAAGTCAATACAGTACATAGAATGTATTAGGAGCTATATACTTGAAGTGTTTGCTATACGATAGACTTTACAAAATTCTACTAGAAAAACTCCCAATACCAATGGATTATCAGGTAATATAAAATGTAAAAAAAAAAAGTTACAAACAATATGACAAAAACCACTTGTGATGTGAGTGTGTGCGCATTCGTACAGGTGCAGTCTGCATGCAAATCTGCCTCAGTGTGACAAATGATAAAAGCAGCTACAGTTGGTTAATGGTTCTGTGTGTCGTCACTCTGACAGCAGCTGTTTACAATCACTGGTGAAGGACGATGTCACTGTCGAACTGTTTCTAGAAAGCTACCACAAAAACATCTTTGAGAAACGGATGCAACTTCATGGTCACGAGTCTTGTGTGTTGGCTAAAAACATGGATCTGCTATCAGTTTCTGACTCGGGTTATTCAAAATAAGAGAATTTTAGCTTTGTCTGATGGAGAGAAAAGTTTGAAAAATGACATTATACTAAAATGTGTTGTATCTAAGGAGGCCCACCTACATTACATGCTCAGCTCTCTAGCGTTCGGTTTAACTAACTCATAGATCCAGTAACAGAATCAGCGATAAAAGGTTGGTTTCGCAGCAAAAACCCTAAAGTAGCGAGGCCCGAAGTTTTGTGCTAAGAGCTTTAACAAGTCAAAGTCATCGTCCTGCTGAATTAAAATGAAACACAAGGCTAAACCCTTGGTGATAGTGACGACTTTCTGTGTGACGTGTGTATTTTCATATGATGGACCTTGGCACTGAGCGGATCCCTTCAGGGAACCTCTTCAAAAGATGACCAATGCGATGAATCAGACAGAAGTCCACGGACAAACGCCACCACACGAGTCCACTACAACAAGAACAATAATAATAATGACAATAATAAGAATAATCCTGGACAATACACATGGTGAATTTGTCTTTTTCCCACATTCAGGGAATAAAAATAGATAATTTTGGCAAAAAAAAAAACCATCTTGACAGTCCACACTGTGTCTTTGAGTGTGGGTGACAGGGTGCAGATAATTAGCGTGTGATGCCAATCCGTTTGCTCCTGGGAGCTCCCATGGAGACAGCAGTTACTATGGTTACTTCATGCTCTCTGTCTCGTGTGTGTGTGCATGTGTGTGTGCATGTGTGTGTGCGTGTGTGTGTGTGTGTGTGTGTGTGTGTGTGTGTGTGTGTGTCTGTGCGTGTGTGTGTGTGTGTGTTTTACGGCAAGCTGCATTGACTTTGTAGGCAGGTTAGTGGCGGTTTGATCCCCATCTTGACTGATCTGAGGTCTGTTTTGGTTTTGCGTTTCTCCCCGTTGACGCTGTAGATATGAAGGCTTCTGAAGCTGGTCTGCGATCTGGCTCAGCTACATCTGGACAGAGCCTGCAGCTCCGGACTGAGAGGTCGGATGTTTTTCAATCGGGGGGTGTGGGGTCCCGTTGCTGACGGGGTCCGATTTACTGATGTGATGTCACTCGGGGGCGGAGCCCTGGTTCTGCTGGTATATGGAGGCTTTGTCCTTCAGCAGAGCCAGACACAGGTGGCAGCTCCAGCTCCCTGGAAAACATACGAGCACAGCAAAGAGGAGTCAAGAACCGTGGGCGTAGAAACACATCATCACGCATCACTTTGATTTAATTTAGAGAAGAATGTGCTCTCTAAAAGTGTGTTTGTGTTTAAGGTTGCATTGAGCTGCAAGGATTCCTGAGAGCTCTTCAAACGAATGATTAGAGCAAAAACGAGCGGATGAGGTCTGAGGGGGGTTTGGATGACGAATGTGACCTCCGTGGCACTGGTCTTTAAAACCCAGAGAAGTTCTACAGTAAAACAACATGCACGTGTAGTTTGAGTCTGTTAACTTGAAGGGAAGTGTTAATGGTCAGCTCACCCTCAGGAGGTTCAGTCATGGGGGGACTTAAACAGTACATGTGGTAGCCTCGGTCACAGTCATCACAGAACAGCAGCTGGTCCTGTGAACACACAACAGCAACAAGTTCACTCTCATGACTCGATAGGAGGAGATCACACACTTATCACCAAGTAACAGAATGTGTCCAGTCACAAATATCACAATCGTGCATCATTTTTGCTTTATCTATAAATGTAATCATTTCAATTTGACCGAAATGTATAAAGTCAGGCTGCTCACTGAACATTAATATTTGACTATCTTCATATCTTAAAAGTACACCCATAACATCTTGCACCAAAGGGTTCATTTTATAATGGCATATAATATTGGCATTAAGGTACACTTTTCCTTTAACGCCACAATTTCAACCACAGCAGCTTGTTACCATGTCAACAATGATCTTTTTGGAAAACACTGAAGACACATTTGCTGAGAATAGACTCACGTCATTCTCTGAAGTGCCGCAAACATTGCAGCACTTGCACTCAATGCACTGCCAGCGGTATGTCTTCACCGCTGCCATCATCACGGGTGTGAACTGCAGGCATGTCGGGTGGCCTGCAGGAAGGAAACACCGGGGATTAACACAAGTAACAACTTTAACGAGGCACAGCAGATTTGTCAAGCTTTGGATTTGGAATTAGGGGTTTGGAATAACAGTGATACATTTTTTTTTTCCAAAGCTGGAATCACAACTGAAAAAGTGTGAGGACTGGATGAATGAGTGTGTAGCTGCTCTGAAGTTAATCAACACTTCAATAGAAATTTTCAGTTCAGAAACACCAGCAAATATTACCCCACACATCCATGTTAGTCCTGAGAGAACGTTCTCTTCCAGCAGCAAGCCTTAGCAAACAGTCAACTAGTAATGTAGGGACAGGAAAAGGTCATACCTGAGCGTCCACAGTCTGAGCAGGATACCAGCTCTTCTGATTGGCCAGTCTTCTGGTTCATGGTGGAGTCGCCCAGACAGAAATCACAGTAATCGTTGGGCAGCGCCAGTCCATTGGGACCCTTCTTGGTAGCTGAGCAGGAGAGTAGGTAAAGAGATGATTCAGTGCACACGAGAACTGACACACTCAACCAACAAGGACGACCAGTTAAACCCTCTGTCTTCTTCTTCCACATGAACAAAGCCCGAAAGCTGCTCTCCACTTAAAATACAGTTTACAAATCAAATGTATTTTAGACTTTAAAGTACAAACATGTTTATGCCATGTCTGCCAACAGTATCAGTAACTGGCTGATGATGCAATGAATCATGATCCAAACGAATGAATGACTGACAACTGACAAATTGCACTTGTTGCAATGCGATGGATATGTTGGGGTACAAAAAAAAGAAGAAAAACATGATGGATGATATGCTGAAAAAAAAAAAAATGGCACGAATCCCAAATGTGAAAGCATATTTCAGTCGAGAACATGAAGTCTAGTCCCCCAAAACCAGTATGAAAATCAAAAAAAAAAAATTAAAAGAGTAGGGGGAGAAAAAAGAATGAGAGAGAGACTTCCCATGAACAAACACAAACATGCTACACAGCATGCAACCACACCTCCCTCCCTCTCTCTCTGTCTCTCTCTCAGCACTAGAGAGTGACTCACTCTTCTGCTCCTCAGGCTGGCGAGGAGTGGGTGGTGCCTCGATCTCCTCGCGGTCCTCGCCCTCCTCCTCGGCCAGATGAGAGTGTGTATAGTGGTAGCTCAGGCCGGGACGGTTCTTGTAGCGCTTCCCACAGACTGACACACACACATGGGTCATACAAAAGTGTTATTGTGGCGGCCAATTCTATTTACCGTCCAAACAGGCCCAAGGTGGAACCACAAAATGCTGCTGGTCATTCCCCCAAAAATCACCTATTTGATTATTTTTTCAAAACATATTATCACACTTATTTCAAACTCATACAGCAGAGGTGAGCATTTGCACATCGAGCTACAGCCAGCAGAAGATTACAGAGCACACATGAAGGCTTCTCAGGAAAAAAAACTCAAAAAAAAAAAAACTCGTCCAGGCGGGCAACTATTCCAATTTCTATGTTGTTAAACTTTAGTGCCAGATGGGGTCTTTCAGATCACACCATGCATGGCAGAAGGCGTTTTTGTTTTTCAGGGGGGAAAGCAAAAGCTTTAAAAAAGGAAGTTGGTACTCACTGTCGCAGGCATAAGGTTTGTCTCTCTCCTCCAGTGCTGCAGCTGCAGCCTCCATTTTCTTCTTGCCGTTCTTGTCACTGCGACCCTACATTACGAATTTAACAGTAGACCCTACTGAAACAACTCACAAGTTTCCATGTAATACAACAAACGTTAGATATTAAACAAGAACAGAAATGCTATGATGACTTACAATTTAAGAGCATTCACTATCAAGTATAAAACCAAAAAGATAAATAAATCAACTAAGAAGAAAATAAAGAATTAAACCCTTTATTTTTGTGTAAAGCTACAACTAAGGATTATTTTCCTCATTTCATTCTTTCAATGACTTGTTGATCTATAAAACATTAGAAAACAGAAAAAGTTGATATGTTTAAATGTCAAATTATTATTATGTAATCTCAAATTATTGCGTTTTAAAACCCTAAAACACCAAATGTTTGCCTAAAAAAATGACTCTGTTGAAGAAAAACATGCAACAAAAGGTGAAATAAAATATCTCTGGGCTATAATCTGTGGTTAAACTGATCAGAAATGTGTGTCCTACATTTAAACCGATCACTGTGATGTTTTCATCCAACACACTAATACACACACTAATCCTTTGGGATCCAAAAGGGCCAGACAGCTGAATAAGATGTGGTACACACCTTGGACTTGCTCTTCCCTCGTCTCTTGGGAGTCTCATCCTCAAAGTCTTCATCGTCCAGGTCATCCAAGTAGTCATCGTGGTCCAGGACTCTCTGCAGGGAGAGGGTCTGGATTAGGTCTTTAATGTATAGACTGTGTGTTGTTTGATGACTGGAAAGAACTTATGTCCCGGATGTTTATCTGATTTAAGATATGTTTTTTTTTTTTTTAAATCTTTTTTTATTGAGGTTCAGCAGTCCACATATTGTCCTTTACATATAGTTCCTGCAGAACCATACTTTTTTATACAACAAAAGAAAGCTTACATATAAACATACACACACATAAACATAAACACACCACCAGATTGACACCCAATTCTAAGCTATGTCAGCGACATCCATGTTGCATCACTTATTGAGGAACATTAAAGCTCAGACCAGAGGGGTCCACAACATCTAAAGCAGGTCCCATGTTGTCATGAAGGGTATAAGTCAGTTTTTCCAGAGGGACTATGCTCAACACCTCCTTGTACCAATCGTCCAGTGTAGGAATGTCCTTATGAATCCAAAACTTGAGAATAGTCTTTCTTGCCATATACAAGAGTATTCCGATGAGTTTTGCATTATAATGATTTCCCGCGTTCGGCACTTTGGCTAAAACACACTGAAGAGGTGATAAGTCCAAGTTATGCCCAATCAGAGTGTCTAGCTCTTTCTTCACCTCCGTCCAAAACACTTGCAACTTTCAGCATTTCCAAAACATGTGTGCATAAGTACCAATTTCTCTATCACATTCATTACAGTTAGAGGAACTGAGACCAAGCCTGCCTCTCAACAGAGGTGTATAGTGGAGCCTGTGCAATATTTTAAATTGTCTCTATCTGTCATTATTACAGCTCAGGATGGTTAATGTGTTTTTTATGATTGTAGTCCAAGTATCCTCATCTATCTGGCWATCCAAATCAATTTGCCACTGTCTTCGTATATGGTTGGTGGAATAGTTTGAGTTTACATCAAAAGCTTCATACGTGCAGGAAATAAATCTTTTTGGCAAAGGTTGAATAAGTAGATTTTCCAAAAAGGATGAGCTAAAGGTTTGCATGTTCTTGATTATATAATGATGAATTTGTAGGAATCGGAAGAAATGGGACTGCCGCAGAGAATATTTAATCTTCAAACTGTCAAATGGCTCCATTATTCCTCCTATAAATAGTTTGGCAAGCTGGTCTAGTCCTTTTTAAGATATGTTTTAACTTCTAATTCTGGTTGTCAAGTCTTTGAGTATTTATGAAACAACGTCCTGGGACAGGTGGTTGCTCTAACTGGTGAGTATTGATCCTTATTCAAGACCATTATTCTCTGTTCTCTCTGCTGAGCTATGCAATGAATATGATTAAAAGGCTGATAGCCAAACAGCTCCTCTGACCATGACTGACTTCAAAGTAAAGAAATGTATTCGGTTTGAGATGAAAGCTTAAATTATGCAGCGCTGGAATAGACAGTGGTCTGTGATACACTATTCTGAACTCAAAAAGCAGTCATTTAAAAAAAGACTAATCTCAAACTGAAGCTGCATAATGAAAGCAAACAATCATAAAACAATCTAAACCTGTTTATACACAGTGTCCAGTACGTTACAGCTGCATTGTCACTAATCAAAAATGTCCCGCTAACTTTGAGCCTGACCTTGCGAATGCGCCCGGAGGACGTGTGAGTGGCCGTGGATGTGGCAGGAGGCTCCACGGTGGCTGGGTCATCCTCAGGGCCAAGGGGGGCTGACACCCCACTCCTCCTGTCGAGGGGCTCCCCTTTCAACAGGGCCTCCAAGCTGCTGCCATCCACAGCGCCCAATGTGTCACGCTTTATACCCAGTTCCAACTCTGCTGCAAACATCAAAACAACAGTAATGCATGTGACAAGACAACACAACACAAAGACAGGAAAAGACGTGCCAGCATAACCAATGAATAAAAATAACAGAGGCTTCTATTCACAATTTTAAAGTATAAATTAATATTTATAAAACTAAATTTCACCAGTAAAGTTCCACCAGCATGAAGGAAAAAGTTATGATACCTGCTTTGAGAGGAGGGAAAGCCAAGCGAGGGTCCTCAGGGGGATGTGAACGCCGCTTCTTCCTCCAGCGACGGGCTGGGTAGGTGTAGAGCTGCCCCGGAGCTACACCTATTGTGACATATCACAGGACAAATGGATAAAACCAAAAGATAAGTGAGCTGTGACGTGACCTTTGGCATGTGTAACTCTGTAAATAATGGACTTTTATGTGCCTGATTGTGTGCTTACTGGAGAGGTGGCATGCAAAAATAAAAAAACATAATTATCATTTAGACTGTTTGGCAAAAATAATCAACAAATCGACATAAAACAAGAACTTTTATCACTCGTTTTGCAGAATGATAACATGATTTAATGATATCATATATACTATAACTGAACTGAAAGTCAATCACCAATCATATACCTGCACTCCGGTGTCTCTTCTCCATCCAGATGTAACAGTTGGACTGGGCGACCCCAGTCTGAGAGTCCAGGAAAGGCATGAGGATGCTGCGCTCAGCACACAGACGCGCGTTGTAACTGTGACACTGCTCCATGGCATCTCTGTAATACTGCTCTCCCAGCCTGAAGTCAAATAACACCGATTGGGAAAGACCGTTAATAATCATTGCTGATGGAATATTGCAAATCAAACAGTTGAAACGACATACAGTGAGTCAAACTCTGCAGTCTTAATTTTACTAAAGCACAAAGTATCTCTTAATGTATGTAATCTACTCTAGTTCCACCATTTTTATTCTTTAACATGGTGTTGAATTAGATTTTTTTTTTCTCTGTAACCTCTAACAGAGAATTATCTG